GGACCAGACTTCCCAGGAAGGGAGCTCAGAAGCAGCAGGCAAGGAATTGAGACCCTACTCCTTGAAGGTGCTGAGATCCAAGGTAAGTCATCAGCAGTAGGAAAAGGAACAGGAGACCAGCTTTATAGGTTACCAACATGAATGAATAGGGAATCCTGAAAAAATGGCAGCTAACTGGCATTCAGGGCTTATGCCCAACATGACAGTTAACACACTGGCTAGTCATGTGATTATATTCAAGTACTACTCAATGGTGCCACTGAACCTGCCAAACTCCAACCATCCCTTTTATGACTGATTTAGGAACTGGGGTGAGACCTGGTCTAAAGGTTGAGTTTATCAAGAGATCCAGAAGAAGAAATGTAAAGAAAGCAAAAGTTGTAAAAATGAGGCAGGGCCTGAAAAAGTAAAGTATAAATGGATGGACTTCATTATTTATAATTTATTTCTTGTCTTTGGCAAGACTTGAGGACAGAGGATCAATCCCATTGTTTGTAAGTACTTAAAGCAACTTTACCAGTACACAGCAATAAGCCCAGAAGTTCACTAGTGTCTCGAGGCAGAAGAATGGCATTCCTTTTTATGATCAAGTTCCAAAGCCCACAGATGAGGGGAATGCTGTAACCACAACATTCTGGCCTTTACTATAGCATCTGACAACGTTTCTACACTTTGAACAGAATATTTTTTGGTTAATCATCACCTGAGGACATTTTTTTCCATTGCTTTTCAAAGCTTCCTCTCTCTAAAATCAATAAAGACATTAAAAAAATAAAAATGGGAAAGGAGGGAGGGAGGGAGGAAGGGAGGGAAGGAGGGAGGGAGGGACGGACAGATTGACAGAGAGAAACAGACATTGACTGGTTGCCCCACACACACGCCCCAATCAGGGAAGGGGAGCAAACCCATAACTGCTGTAAGTGGCTTTGACTGGGAATCAAACTCACAACCTCGCCAGTTTGGACTGGTACTCTAACCACTGAGCACACATCGCCCAGGGCATGAACAGAATTTTAAAACACAGGAAGGATGTGACATTAGAGTAAATTCTTGACTGGTTCAAGGATGTAATTTAAAGATTGCTAATGAATGAATCTGCGCTACAGTAAAGGAAAGTTGCTAAAGGCATGCCACAGGCCCCTATCCTCAGTCTGAGCTAGTTTAGCAATTTTAATCAATGACTTCGGTAAGGCCAATAGCCAGCATACTTAAGAAGGTCACAGATGAGATTAAGATTGAAGACTAATGAATAAGGTGGATGACAGATTCAAGATCCAGAAAGACTTCAAAAGGCTGATGAAAAATGATATTCTACAGGAATATATGTCAGATCCTATACCTAGATGAAAACACACACACACACAAAATTAATGAGAAAAAAAGGGAAAGCATCACTTGACAACAACATGCATAGAGCTAAATTAGAAGTCAGTTAAAACCACAAGCCTAATGTAAATAAGGCTGTTATGGAACAGGGAGAGAGCCCGTGAGACTTCCTCTTAAGAAATCTAGCCTCCAAAGGAATGGAGAGCCTAACTCTATGCTGGGCTGGACTGACCAGGCTCAGGGCACAGATGTCACCCTTGAAGATAAACGGACACATGTTGAAGACTTCAAAAACTGACAAATGAGACATGGTTGATGAAGTAAGGATTCGGGCTAGAGCAGAGAGCACACGCCGACAGCTACTAGGTGAGATACAGAAAACAGATGGGCTGAGTTCATCCTGATCAGGATATCAGAACTATCTGAAAATTCCCCATGAAAACTGGGACTTATGTTTTCTTGGAGGGAAGAAGTCTGCCTACAACTGAATGAAGTGGGTAGCCAAAGCTTCCTTCAGGCGAGCTGGTCTACCTCCCACTGTTTGACATCTAGGTACCAGGTTACCATAAATGAGCCTGCAAGTATCTAAGCTCCAACTGCATTTAGAGAAAAAGAGCCACGGGTAAACACAAAAACTGTGCCTCACCTATGGCTGGGCCAGTGATATACTGAGAGACTATTCTGGGAAATAAGGCCAAAGGGTACCAGGTATAGGGAGGTTCAACATAAAAAAATTTCTCCATCAAAAAAAATGGGACAAGCTGCCTGTGTATGTGGCCTCTCCTAACTGAAAAGGGGTAAACTGAGGTCTACCCCTGACCAGAATTTCAAAGAAGACTGGTACAAGAACTAGAATAGACAACCCAAAACATCCTTTCCCAGTCTGGGTTTCTCTGCTGGTCTCATCTCACTGAGCTTCATTACTGTCAGTAACCACAGACCATGGAGAGCACACTGAGCTGGGCCAGCATGCTTTTCATGTAAAGAAAGCACTGGTGCTGAAACCGGTTTGGCTTAGTGGATAGAGCGTCGGCCTGCGGACTGAAGGGTCCCAGGTTCAATTCCGGTCAAGGGCATGTACCTGGGTTGCGGGCACATCCCCAGTGGGAGATGTGCAGGAAGCTGATCGATGTCTCTCTCTCATCGATGTTTCTAACTATCTCTCTCCCTTCCTCTCTGTAAAAAATCAATAAAATATATTAAAAAAAAAAAAAGAAAGAAAGAAAGAAAAGAAAGCACTGGCACTCAGCCTGTGTGGCTCAGTGGTTGAGTGTTGACCCATGAACCAAGAGGTCATGGTTTGATTCCCTGTCAGGTCACATGCCTGAGTTTCAGGCTTGATACCCAGCAGGGGGCATGCAGGAGGCAGCCGATAGATGATTCTCTCATCATTGATATTTCTCTCTCTTTCTCTCCCTTCTGTTCTGAAATCAATAAAAACATACTTTAAAAAGAAAGAAAGAAAGCACTCGCTTCATAGGACGATTGTAGAATTTACTGTTTCCATGTCAACTACACAGAGGCTTTACTGTGGAATCATTATCTGATCCTCTCAGGCAGTTTAATTTACCAAAAGTATAAGAGAACCTAGTTATTTCATTAGTATCGAGAAGCGAGGGATACTCCTGCCTTGAAGTCATTCCAAGTTACTGTGAGGTTCGGAATCACAAGGAGGCATCATGGCACAATAGGCAGAAAAACAGAACAGAAGATATGCTTGGGAAAACTTGATCTTTCTAGACCTCAGTTCACTCGTCTATAAAATGGGCATAAAACTTAACCACGTCTATTCTAGATTGTTGTGCAAATCAAATTAGACAAAGCAAGTAAAGGTGCTCTGGGACTATGCAGTGCGATATAAATGCAAGGGCTTTCCAATACAAACACAGACTTGTTATATCTTGTGTTCATTTTATCTGATATGCATTTTGCCTTCCTGGTATAAGAATTTGGGTCAGATTATAAACTTATGAACAATAATAGATACAGAGGCAGAGCTGCCTCAAACTGATTGTCAAACTGCAGCGGGAAGGCCAGGAAGGGTTGGGGGGCAGGAGGGAGGGGGGTAAGAGATCAACCAAAGGACTTGTATGCATGCATATAAGCATAACCAATGGACATAAGACACTGCGGGGTAGGGGAGGCCAGGGGATTGTCAAGGGTGGGGGGGAAAAAAGGACACATATGTAATACCCTTTGTAATACTTTAAGCAATAAAACAATAAAAAATAAAAAAAAGAATTTGGGTCAGTCTACCCATTTACCCAGTGATCCATTTATACACCTACTTACCTGCCTCTAAGTACATCTCAAAACTCAATTTTCCAAAGCCTCCATGTTAAGGTGTGAGACATGATTCCCCAGTGTGATATCAATGCATGCTAAATGTGCAGTATAGTTCAATGATTTGCCCACGTAACCAGAGGGAAAGGGGGGTA